CAGCACGCCCAAAGCTCCTCACCATTTTAAAGTGCGCATCCAAGAGCAGGAGAGAACCAGCTAAAGCTAACAAAATGCTTTTACTCAGGGCTTTCCTAGGCTGTCTCTTTTAGCTCTGTGAGGATGCTGTATCTAGTCTGAAGGAATGCTTGCTTGAACAATAAAAATAATTGAGTATAAATATGATTGGATGGCTTGTTTACAAAGGAAGCCAGGGACTGGACACATGACAGCCACGTATGGGTGAAAATAACATTGGCATCCATTGTGTGGGGAGATTACTTGCAAAATATCTATATTAGCCCATATGGCATACAGAAAATGCATTAGGAGGAATACGCACAAAGGCATAGGCAGATTTTCATGTGAATGCAAATAAAAAATTCGCAATGTTTGGGTCAAAGTGGATTTTAGTTTAGGAAAATGTGAACTGGAAAGGAATTGAAATGAACAAATGGATTCATTCTACTGTGACGTTTCTCAAAATTGATTGAGAAATGGATCTGCAGTAGCACAAAAGCAGTTATATTGAGAGGCGCCAATAGGTTCCCCTCAATAAAGAGTTTCTCTGAAACGCACCAGAAATATTTGCTGGAGTATTTGTTTTCATTTAATTTTGCTGGCTTTTCCTTCACCATTGATAATTCTTTTGGGGGGTGTAATGCTAAAAGGGGAGGCCAAAACACCACAAGAATTTGAAAGGCAACAAATGAAAAATCCTCATGTTTGCAGTGGCCGATTTATGCAGATTTCTGTAAATAAATGGAGTCCCAATTGAGGCCCAAAAGTAAGAAGCAGTATTTCCCCAGAACCCTCCCTCAAAAAGTTGTGGAAGGAAAGAAGGAGCCAGGTGCTAACAATAAAATGTTGACATTTGACATACATTTGCTGAGCAGGAGGTAAGTGAAGTTACGGTGGAGCTAGGCACTTCTTACGCTCTGAAATCATTCGGGCTCCTTACATTGTGCTCAGCTTTTCATGTTTCAGTGGGACTCAAGTGCAGCCAGCTTAGAACCCACCCCTGTTCGTGTCTCCTTGGATGCCCCACTGATTCTGGGAGACTTTGCTCTCAGATAAATGCACTTACAGTTCCAGTCTTGGTCTGGATTATTTAAAAGTATGAATATACATCGTGCGTGCACTTTTCTGTAAACTGTCCTGGAAGCAATGCATGGCTGTCGAACAGGATATAAAAGCAAACAATAAATAACAGATATCCAGCATGGTGATCCAGCATTGCCAGAAAGCTTTGAAAATGGTGAAAAGGTTTCCAGTCTTGCCCCACGGGTCGGGTCGGGTCAGACTGCGCCGTGTGCAGCAGAACGCAAGGTGTGCGTGACAACACACCAGCGCTCATAAACGGTGCAGCTGGAGTCATTTTTTCCTTTTGTCTCTGAAGTGTTGCTTTCCATTCCTTTCCCCTTGTACAGAAATAGAAGCATCTCCTGAAATACTTCAAAGATGTATTACAGAAATAAAGAAAATAGACGGATAAGCTATTTGAAAAGGACATTAACATCAGCTATTCTAGCAAATATTTGTGTTTTTTCATTTTTTTAGGCAGACTTGCACAAATGTGCAGTTGTGTACTTTCACAGCCTGACTGGCTTGCTCCCAGAGAGTATCATCTTCAGGAAGGAAATGCAGCTTCGTTCATCATCAAGGGCATGTCTGGTTATGTCCCTTTGAAAAAAACATATGGATCCCCATCACCCCAGCTTCTTAGAGGAGGCAGAGTTTCGACAGCTAAAGGCTCCCCTAAAAAGGGAGTGTGCCATGTTTTCCCACCCTCCTGAAGATTTGAATGAGCCCTCAGGTAGGTGGTAAAATTGCTCAGGTAACGTTGGAAATGTGAACTAACCTTCAGAAGAATCAGGACCAGAAGAAAAGAAAAAAAAGGGGAGGTAAAGAACGTAAAACTTTGAGGGTCTTTCACCGATCACCTCCTTTCTGAGAGCACAAATCATTCACAGTTTTGGTCCAATGGCTGACTTGCCTTTTGGCAGCTGCCAAGACAACCCAGAGGGGAAGGGCAGCAAGAAACTCCCTGGACATCACCCAGACGGGGCGGGACATTTCAGCCCCCCAAGTGTGCAAGACAGAGTAAAAGACTAAAAAGCTTCGGCAAATGGGGCGGCATAAAAATGTTTTAATAAATAATAAATAAAATAAATAAAAAAGCTCCTGCGCATTCGGCTCGTGTTCTTTGAAGGGATGAAAACTTTGCAACGGCCCCTCCAGTGCAGCAGCCAGAGGGCAGAGTGTGGGGAAAGAAGGCAAGCAGCCAGCCCCCCAGGGGGAGCCACTAACCACTGTGGCTCCTTGCCAGGGTGCAACGGGTAGGGGGCAGAATTGCTTTCTCTTACTGCCACCTACAGGAACTAGGATGAATTGCAGCCTGGGAACTTTTCGTATTCCCTGTGATGTCCTGCTTGTGGGCTGCCCGTTCTCTGAGAAGCGGTGTGCAGGCACCTACCCGGGAGGAGCACAACGCCTTGTGCTAAGGAGCAGCGGGAAGGGCGGCCAGGTGGCGTGTTGCCTGCCTCCGGCTTCCTGCTCCAAGGGAGGAGCTGGGTCAGACACGGGTGTGCAAGGGCCAGCGACATGGCCCGACTCTCCCATTCATTCCCAGCGATCCCGGGGAAGAGCAAATAACCCCGCCGCAGCTTCCTCCATGCGGGTTTTGTAGGCCTCCTCGCGATGGGCTTGGTGGAGGCCACAAAGAACAGCCCCTGTAAGTGCTGCTTGTGTCGCTGTTTTCCCTGACTCTCCTGCCTCCTGCCTCCAGGGCATAATTTGGTCCAGCTGCACCAGGCAACCTGGCATGCGCCCGAAAAGCAAGCTCCATTCCCATGGAGCCACAACTGCATTATTGCGACGCGCTCTACGTGGGGCTGCCCTGAAAGCAGTCTGGATACTCCAGTCGGTTCAGAACAGAAGGTGCCAGGATCAGGCTAGATCCACGTTAAGGTGCTGGTGATGACCTGTGACGCCCTAACCGGCTTGGATCCTGGATACCTGAAGGGGCGCCTCCTTCCCTACACGCCCCGCACCTCTTGAGATCTGAGGCAGAGGCCCTGCCCCGGGAGCCCTCCTTGAAGGAGATTAGGAGGGGGAGTATCTGGAGCAGGGCCTTCTCTGTGGTGGCCCCTGCTCCCCAGAGAGGTTCACCTGGCACCAGCACTTCTTTCTTTTTGGTGCCAGGCAAAACCCTTTTAATTTTCCCATTATTTTAATGTTTCATCAGTCTTAATGTGGTTTTATATTATTAAATTACTGGAAGTTGTGCCATTTTATCTGTTGCTCGTTGTAAACCATCCCGAGACACCAGTAGATGGATGGTCTATAAAAGCTGTAAACAAATAGGTAAATCAATAATATAAAACATCCATGCACGGGCGGGAGCAGGCATTGTGCACATTCCATGTAGGAGGGAAAACAAGGGTGGAATCCCCCCCCCCAAAAAAAACCCTAGGATTTAGTGTGTCCAGTGCAATTGTGAGTGTTAATTGAGGAGGAGGAGCTTGGGAGCAGGAGAGTGGATGGAACTGAGTTTCCTGAAAGAGGGCATTGCAGCACCCAAAACTGGACCATCCCCACGGCAAATTTTGTTGAGGGTGCCAACTGTACATACGTGTCTCTGAGTGCCAGCACTCACTGGAACCAAAATAACGCCATCCCCATGAAGAAGGATATATCTATTTATTAACTGAAAGCTTTTCTGTGCTGTCCATTACTAAAAAAAAGTCTCTGGACAGCTTACAAAGAACAAAAACCATAACAACAACAACGCACAGCACACTGCATCTAAAAATAGCGATAAAAACAAGGATAAAACCAATTAATTGTTAAATTACCAGGAAAATAAAAAGGTCTTTGCCTGAACGCCAAAAAGAATAGAGCAACGGTGCCAGGTTGGAGTAACCTTGAAGGTTCCATAAGTACCAAAAGATTATTTCAGAAACGAATGTAAGGGAGACAATCCATTTGGAGCCCTTCCCGCTACGCCTAGGTGAATTGGTGTGGAGGGTGTGTGTGGGTGGGGAAGGGTTGTCAGAACCGCTCACGCTTTTCTGCAACCACCACACCAATCTATGCAGAGAGAAACATGGGGAGTTGTCTTCTACTGAGCCAGCCCTCTGGACCATCTTGCTTTGCCAGCACAGACTGGCAGCAACCTGGCTTCCTGGCAGAGTTTTTTCCTGCCCGACCCGAAGATGCTTCATATCAGACTTGGGACTTCCCGTATGTGTACGAAACACACACGCAGTGGCTTGTGCTAACACAGAAGCATAGAAACAGAGCGAGGCAGAAGGGGTCTCCCGGGCCATCTAGTCTGACCCCCGGCTCCAGCCGGCTCCGCTCACACACGCCCACTATGCACATGTCTAGCATGAGGCATGCTCGGTACAATGCGAATTTCCTGAACAGGTACCTCAAACCGCGTAGGAGAGATTCCCTAGTGTATTGTTGCAGCAAAGAAAATACCGAGTGTGGAAAATGCCAAGAGAATCGCCACAGACAGCGCCTGGTGCCCAGAGCTTCTCTGCCAGGGGGCTCTCCTGGCTCCGGAGAAATGCCACCCTCAAAGCCTTTCCCCGCGTGCGTTCCCGTCGCCCTGCGTCCGGCTCCCAGGACCTTTCCCTGCAAGGCTATTTATGTGCTCCTGTCCCTTCCCCCACAACTTGGCCAAGGCTCAACGGAGGCGGACTGGCCTCTCCCTGCCGGGGACATTTGCTTGCATAATAACCTCTGGTCAGAAGAGTCGCGTGTGGCTGCCATCTGGAGGTCACTGTCACCGGCCAATGAGAGCTTCTGTGCATGGAGAGCCACCTCGGAGAAATATCGTTCATGATATAAATTAATCTTGGCTGAGATTCGTGGTTTCCCTGTATCCTGACGCAGTGACCCATACGTGAAGATCTCAGAGCCTGCAGGAGGCAGCACACACGGCCACAGCGGTCCCTCTTGGAGGCTGCAGCTACAAGATCTGGGATAGCATGGACACTCAGCCCTTCCATCGACAAGAGAAAGGAAAGAGGGGGCCAAAGGTGGAGACCCCCAGAGCAGAATGCAGCCCAGGGTCGGGGCCATCTCAGCAGCTTCACCTCGGAGCAGCTGCATTCCTAGCAGGGGCAGGATTTGTCCTCGCTGTGGTGGCTGGGTGCTGCTTCAGGGTTGCTCCAAGGAAGACAGATTTCAGGATACAGGTAGAGCGGCTGGATCTCCGGCAGGATGGGCTGACCATCAAAGGCCAGAAGGGAGAGGAGGCCTTCAAGCTGGCCTTCCAGTCGGGCATCCTGGACCTGAAGTCTTGTTCCGAGGGAGGCCGAACTTTGACTTGCACCGGAACAGACAAAGGGAAGATTAACTTTGTGATCCGGACGGATGAGCCCAAGGGGGTGGGGAGGTGCTATTCCCTCAGCTGGGGAGAGTTTGCAGCAGACACGGTGGTGGAGCACAAGATGTTCTGGGGGGACGCCCACTGGTACGGCGGCTGTGAGATGAGTGTGCAGCACTGGCCGATCCGGCTGCCGGGCTCCCAGGAGCCCATGCCGTTTGTGACCAGCGACGTGTACTCGTTCCGGAACAGCTTTGGGGGCATCCTGGAGAGGTACTGGCTCTCCTCCAAGGCAGCGGCCATCAAGATCAATGACTCCGTGCCCTTTCACCTGGGGTTCAACGCCACGGAAAGGTCCCTCGTCTTCCAAGCCAGGTACAAAGATTCTCCCTACAAGCCGCCGTTGGGGCAGCAGCCTTTCCCAGAACTGAGCTACCGTGTCTGCATAGGTTCCGATGTCACCTCCATCCACAAATACATGGCGCAGAGCTATTTCAAAAAACCCATGAAGGTGCCTTCCGAAAAAATGTTCACGCTGCCCATCTGGTCAACATGGGCCATGTACAAAAAGGAGATTGACCAGGATAAACTTCTAGAATTTTCCCGAACCATCCGGAAGCACCATTTCAAATACAGCCACATCGAAATAGATGATATGTATATGCAGAATTATGGTGACTTTGACTTTGACCCCCTAAAGTTCCCTCACGTGACGGAGATGTTTGAAGAGCTGAAGAAAGATGGGTTTGATGTCACTCTCTGGATGCACCCCTTTGTACATGCAGATTCCCCAAACTTTGAGGTGGGGATAAAGCGACAACTTTTCGTCACAGAGCCAACGGGGACATTGCCAGCCGTGGTCGAGTGGTGGAACGGCGTTGGCGCCATATTGGATTTCACCAACCCTTCAGCCAGGGATTGGTTCCAAAGCCACCTGAGGCAGCTCTCCTCAAAATATCACATCTCATCCTTCAAGTTTGATGCTGGTGAGACATGTTACCTGCCTGACCAGTTCAGCAGCTTCCAACCTTTACTGGACCCCAGCACCTGGTCCAGGCAGTATGCAGAAATGGCCGCTCCTTTTTATGAGCTGGCTGAGGTCCGGGTTGGCTACCGATCCCAGGATATTGCCTGTTTTGTCCGAATCATTGACCGGGACTCAATTTGGGGGCATGAGCTTGGACTAAAGTCCTTGATACCTACCGTGTTGACTATTGGCCTTTTAGGATACCCTTTCATACTACCTGACATGATCGGTGGAAATTTCTTTCCCAACAAAACCGATGGTGCGGTGGAAATCCCAGACCGAGAGCTCTATATCCGCTGGCTGGAGCTGTCGGCCTTCATGCCGTCGATGCAGTTCTCCATCCCGCCTTGGCTGTACGACAGAGAGGTCGTTGACATCGCCCTGAAGTTCACGAGGCTCCACGAGGCCCTCGTGGCTCC